TACTTTTTTTTTTGGCTTTTTGGGTCACATCCGGCGATGCACAGGGGTTACTCCTGGCTCTGCACTCAGGAATTACTCCTGGCGGAGCTCAGGGGACCATATGGGATGCTGGGAATTGAACCTGGGTCGGCCGCGTGCAAGGCAAATGCTCTACCTGCTGTGTTATTGCTCCAGCCCCAGTTCTTGTTATTTTTGAGACTATGAAAGACAGCGTCCCTGGCCACCCTGGGATGTGGGGTCAGGGGGCCAGTGAAGATGATTATAATTCTTAGGAGCCCAAATTAGGTGGCCTAAAATCTAAAACCTGGTGCTAATGCATCTTTCTTTCTTTCTTTCTTTCTTTCTTTCTTTCTTTCTTTCTTTCTTTCTTTCTTTCTTTCTTTCTCTCTCTCTCTCTCTCTCTCTCTCTCTCTTTCTTTCTTTCTTTCTTTCTTTCTTTCTTTCTTTCTTTCTTTCTTTCGGCACAACTGGTGATGGTCAGGGCTTACTCCTGGCTCTGCATCAGTAATCACTCCTGGCAGGCTCAGGGATCATATGGGATGCTGGGGATTGAACTCAGGTCATAAGCTTGCAAGGCAAGTGCCCTACCCACTGTGTTATTGCTCCAACCCTGTGACTGCATCTTTTGCAAGTGGCCCATTGGCTACTTCTTGTCAGATCTGCTTGGGTTTAAAGACGGAACAGTTTGACTATCTGTAGACATGTGGAACACAGCTTCTTCTGTGCTGATTTGCATGAAGACAGTTTAGGCCTCGTGTGTCTCTGGCTAGAGTCGCCTAGTACAGTCAGAGTTTCATAAAACCTTGAGCTACCAAGCCTTGAGTCCTGTTCCTGGGAGTAGAGTGTTTCCATGCTTACACAGGGGTTTGCCATGTTCACAGGCTCACTTATAGCTCTCTTCACCCTCACATTTCACCCAGGACCCTGCGTGTCAGCCGGACCTCTGGCTCCCAACTGCAGAGCAGCTGTCCAAGAAACATTTATTGTGGGCCCTTTTGGCACATACGCCACTGCTCTGAACTGGAAATGCTGCTGCTTCTCCTGGCCGGCTGATCTGTGCGGAGAAGGCTGGCAGGCTAGCTCTGACCGCGTTTCTCTCCAGAGAGGGCAGTCAGGGAGCAGCGGGAGCCAAGAGGCAGCAGAGGGTTATGCCTAGGAGACCCTGGGGCCTTGACCTCTTCACACATGACCTGATTTTTTGGGTTGGATTCTGCCTTGACCTGCCAGATCCAGCGATATTTCTCAACACACAAAAAAATTGCAGAAAAGCTGGGGACAGCACGCTGAGGGCCAAAGCTCTGACTTCATGTGTGAAAGCCCCTGGTTTGATGCCCAGCACCATATGCTCCCCGAGGCAGTGTTCACATCCTCATTTTCCCCTGCAACAACCTTGGCCCACACCTCCGGTCTGCCCATCACCAGGAACAATGTATGGCCCAGAGGCTCATTGCAATGCCAGGTGAGGCCCAACCCTCTGCCCCCAAACAAGTTATAAACCTGAGCAGCATTTGTGTGGAGTGAGTCGACACTCCCCCTTGAAGTCAGCCACCACACTAGGGTCTTCAGGGCTGTTTCCTGTTCAAAGTCCTCCACTTGATCTCCAGACAAGGGAATCTGCTCACAGAGCTGAGGGCACTTGTGTGCTTCGGGTCACACAAGTGACAGCTGCAGCTGGACATAAATTTTTGTGACCTCAACAGCTGCCTCCTGACTCCATGCCCTGAATCTGGATGCATGGCAGCCGTGGTTGGTGGCGATAAAAACCATTAGCAAAATTCTGTCTCTTCTCCTTGACTCCTCTTTGCCTATGTGCCTCCTCTGTCTCGAGTGGGAGTCTTGGGTCTCATATCTGCAGTTTATTGGTGATTCGGAGTCCACCAGCTCCCCATTTCTAGAGAGTGCTCAGAACACGTGGTCCCTGTGGTCAGAGTCACCAGAAGCTGGGGGTGGAAGTAAAGCCAAGCCACTAACCTTACCCTGAAACATCCAAAGAGTATCGACAATCTGTTAAGACAGTGGCAGACGGAGATGCCCGAAGGACAGGGACATGGGCAGGAGATGGAGGGAACTTTCTAGAAAAAGGAACATCTGTGTTTCTCCCCAAGGCCTGTCCAGATGGAGTTAGTGAAGACAAGGCATCCACAAAGGTTGGTGGAACTTTGACATCCCGGGAGCCAGGAGTCAAGAGGGCAGATGGGAGAAGGCCTGAACTCAGGCAAGAGTTGCCCCGCCAGCACACCAGGCTGATTCTAGCACCAGAACCAGCTCACCCCATTGGGGAACTATGCCTTAGCAGCACAGTGAAGGGGAACTACTTTTTCCATCACAGCTGGTGTTTCGGCAAGTCAAAGCTGGATCTGCTCAGAGAGACCCACAGCTTCTCCCAGATACTCCCACTGTCACGGGCTTCCAGGGCGAAGCCTTTCCCAGCACAGGCTGCAGGGCTTCCCGTGTGAAGGTTCACAGGGTGTGGGCATAGGCATGAATACCTCCTAACTGTCATGACAGGAGACAGAAATGCAGAGATCCGGAGCTTTCATGTCTTCCCGTCGCTGCTCTTTTCCATCCTCCACCAGGTGAGCTCCGTCTTGGAGTCAGGACCAGTTGTGTGGACTCCAGCCTCATTCTCTTGCCCGCTGTTGAGGGTTGGGAATGCAGGGTTTGTTCCTGGTCCTGGGTCTGCCCATCACTTGGCACTCTGGGCTGGGACTGTCCTGTAGACACGCATACGCAGGACTGGGTCTGTGTGGGGCCCCTCCTAGTTTGGCAGGCTCACTCAGACCCTCTTCTTTCCATCTTGCCTACATAAACAGGAATGTAAGTGGATGTCTTTAAGAGATGGGAGAGGAAACAGTGTGCATGGAAACCAAACATCGACACCCCAGGTTTTTGTAAGCTAAGGAAGATGAATACACACACACACACACAAACACACACACACATATATAGCTTTTTGGGTCACACCTGGCAATGCTCAGGGATTACTCCTGGTGGTGCTCGGGGAACCATATGGGATGCTGGGAAATCGAGCCCGGGTTGGTCACGTGCAAGGCCCTACCTGGCAAATGCTGGAGTGCTATCACTCCAGCCCTATGAAGAATATTTTTCTTTTGAGGCACAGTTGGCAGTACCTGGAGAGTGAACCCTGGCCTCCTGCACGGAAACATGCACTCCAGCCTTTTAGGCTATCCCCTACTCTGTAATGCATTTTTTGGGAGGGGGATAGGAGAACTTCCAAGTGGTGCTCAGGAGTCTTTGGGGGCCCACTGTTGAGTCTTGGTCAGTGGGACCAGCAGTTCAATGCAAGGGCCTGTGGCTATGATGCTATTTTGGTTCCTGCGGTGTAGAGGTGCTCTGCACGGGGGCTGCATACTGTGATGCTTGGGAAACCACATGGCTGGGCACGTGCTGGGTGTGCTCTCCAGCTGCTGTGCCATTTCTGGCCCCTGCGATTTATTCTTTTATGTATCTAAAACCAGCATTTACAGAGTGAGGGTGACATGGGCTGCCATGCTTCCTCCCACCAGCCATTTAAATTCCAATTTCCTCTAATCAGAAGAACTGGTCTAGTTATCAGATCAGATGCTTGGGATCAACTGAGAATGTTTATTTAAAAGCAATTTTAAATATTAAAAAAAGTAGAAATGAACACATACAGTACTGAAAGGCTGTCACATTAAATACATGTAGAATGACAAGAGTACTGATGCCTGACGGTAACATCCAGATGAGAACAGGGAATTCAACTAGTGGCCCTACAGGGTTCCTATACAGTATGTTGGAGTTCTAGGCAATAAAAAAATAAATAGTAATTGTTGTTCAACAGTAAAATAGAATGCACACTATTTGCAGAACATAACTTTCCCCTCTGTGGGGGGAAAAGAACTAGCTATTTTTTTTTCGTAAATTTCCATACCTTTAAAATACTTTATCATGTACAAAACTGCAGATAGTGGCTCACTTGACTTTATGCACAATATCATATTTAAACTCAACTTAGATCACCAAAGGTATTTAGACCGACTTTTCCTATGTCCCACAGTAAGTTGGGGTTAGAGAGAACTCAAATTATTGATAGAAAAAAAAAACCAAACCAGAAAAAGTATTAAAAATGTAAGTTTCTATAAAAGGGGAGAGAAGTTATTAGATATTGACGTCATGTAATTTTAATATTAAGTTTAGCTTTTTGTTCAAAATCAGTTCGAGATCAGGTGAAGATACTGCAGGCCACAAGAATGTAGTTCTTTAAAGCAATTTAAGACATGTACATGAATTATGTGGGACAGCACAGCAACGTTTTTTTGCTTCCTGTGCTCACCAGTGTGGCTTAAGCACTCTGGACACCCGCCGGCCCTGTTAGCCACATACACCGCAGGGTCCTGACGGGCTCATCCTGTGTGGGACTCACCCCCACCGGGTCCCCAAACTGAGGAAGCAACAGCTTAAAAATCACTTTCCAGTAACAGTGGGTATGTTGCAAGTTTATCATGCAATACTTAATTTATTAGGTGGCTATTGAGAGTAATTGCTGAAGCAGGACTGAACTAATATTCACCGAGCACGGTGGCTGCTGAAGAGGGGCTTTTCCTAAGGGCTGGGTTGGGGGTTGTGCTTCTGTGAAATGAACATTTCTCCGTCGCTGCCAAGATGAACTGCATAAGAATGTGAGTTTTCGGTTGTGTTGCCATGCTGGAAGACGACACACGAGCCTGGGATTCAGAGAACAGTCTGTGACTAGGGAGTGAAACTTTTTTTTTTTTTAATTCAAAATGCAACTGAAGGAGGAGACCAAATTGCTCATGGTGGCCTTAGTGGTCTGAACACACTGGAGTGAAATAAAAGCAAGAGGGAGAGACTTGTTGAGGGAAGAGCATTTTTCACAGTGTAATGCATGGTGGTATTCACACACTTGTTTGTAAACTGACTTGAGCGAAATGGAATGGAGCGAAAGACTGGAAAATTCCCTAACAGTTTAATAACAAGCATGGGGGGGTGGGGGGGAAGGTCAGCACCTGGGCTTCTACAGTGGGGAAATTGTGTGCAGAGTTGACTTTTAAACTCGCCATCTTCTTGAAGAGTCTTTAAAAGTTTAAATTTGCCTAAGGACAAAACTCAGAAAGTAATTTAAAGTGGACATGTTGGCTGCTTCCACACATGGAAGGATAGAATTCATCTTATGATATGTAAATACATGCTGAGAAAGTCAAATGACTGACTAGAAACACATATTGTTGCAACCTTATAATTTCTGCTTTAATGGCAATCAAGTTTTTTAAAAAAATGTACAGTTCCACTTGTCCATACTTTTCCTTTATAAAAGGCAGATTTCGGGTAAGCTTCTAAATGCATGCATAATGTAGAGGCTAATATTTTTGGCAGTCCTTGGTTCCTGAAAGTTGACCTTCTTCAGATGTATTTTAAACTTTTCTCAAAATAGTCATGAAGGATATGTATTTTTGCATAATGAGGTAATAATATCTCAGGGCTGGGCACTCGTCATTTTAAGACAGTAGAAACCTAACTTGTCTAAACTTGCATGAGGCTGTGGGCATAGTAAAATGTCACCAAAGGTTTCGGGTGAATGAGTATTTTGCTGAAGGAATAACACTTACATCTAACTGAGCACTTGTCTTTAATAAATACCAAAGTAGGTTTTGTAGAGCTGTAAACGGTGCACAGGTTAACTACAGGTTGGTCTGTCATGGAGCTAAAGTTTCACCTGGAAAACAGTACCCACCTCTTTGCTAATGTTGCGTTTTTCAGTAACACAATGGAAGAATACTGTATTGTTAGGAACGGAGAGTGGATTCTGTGCCTTCCAACGGCCGCTGGAGGCCACTTCTATTTGCAAAGCTGGCAGTTTGGATATTTCTGTTTCTGTTTGTTTGCTTGAAACACAGCATGGATAGAGATGTAAGTGCTAGATGCCAAGGATGGCTTTGGCAGACCAGTAAGGCGTGCCAGGTCCCAAGGCTACCCTAATACTGGCGAAGGCAGAAGACCACAGGATATTTACAGCACACGCGATCCCCCCGTTGAGGCGGCCCTTCCAGCAGCTTTCTGCTCTGTAACAGCAGCTATGTACATGGTGTGCGCAGGGTGACATGGAGCCAGCAGTCTTGCACAAAGGGCGTGGACAATCTTCAGGGTCTGCTCTTCTGCTAGTCAGACAGGATGTGAACGAAGGACACCGGGAAGACCCCCTTCCTTTCAGGCTGCCCCTCAATGTGCCCGATCTGCAGAGAGAGGAGAGTGGTCAGGTGGCAGGTGGGTCCAGGTCCATCCTTTGCCCATTGGGTGAACCCACAGAGAGCACCTGACATGCCCCCATGAACATGGAGCAACAGAACCAATGCCAAACTCAGCGCGTCTCCACGGGCGCACGGTGCCCACAGCCTAGAGGGTCCTGTGATCCTCATATGCCCATCCAGAGTGTCGCTATTCCCTACTGGCTCTCATGAAGGCTGCAGACTCCGTAGCCCTGTTCTGAGACAGACAGGGCCCCAGTCTGCCCTGTCTGCTGGAGTCCAAAGAGTGGGCTAAAAAAAAAAATCCCTCAGCTCTGGCTCAGGAGACTACATTAAACATGAGATGTAAGGGCCATAGAAATAGTAAACGGGTCAAGGCCGCAAGCCTGGTTGATCTCTAGTACTGCATGGCATCCGAACCCCCATCCCCTAATTACAGGTAGTGGAGGGATATGGGCACTTATGTGGTGTATTTACCTTGTAATCGAACATACATAAACACTTCGATTCGCAAACTTCTGGTGCCCAATAAAAAAAAGTCATCAAGGGCTGGAGCAATAGCACAGCAGGTAGGGTGTTTGCCTTGCATGTGGCCGACCCGGGTTTGATTTCCAGCAACCCATATGGTCCTCTGAGCACTGCCAGGAGTAATTCCTGAGTGCATGAGCCAGATGTTACCCCTGTGCATTGCTGGGTGTGGCCCAAAAAGAAAAAAAAAGAAGCCATCGAGTTGAAAAAGGCACCTATAAATCAAGAAAATTGTCAGACTGCCTGGGGGGACAAAAGACTGTGTAAATCTGAGACTGACATAGCCTCTGGCAACTTTTACTATCTCCTCCCTAAGTCTAAAAAAAGGGGCCATGATTCCCCGCAAAAAAATTTGCATCACTGCACTTAGATCAGCAGTAATTACAGTAAAAAGAATCCTGGCCTATGGCTCCAAAGGACAAATAGAGAGAGAGAGAGAGAGAGGATGCTTCCAGAGCAGGTCCAGTGGCCAGGCATGGAGCACCAGCAGAGCGGAGGGTCTGGCCCAGGCAGGCCCTCCTGTGCCGGTGTCTGACCAGGCCTGATCTCCTCCCCCAGGAAGGGGCTCATGTTGACGTGGGCCCAGCCGACATTTGCGGATCTTTGCCCTGAGTGAAGAACTGCGGCTTCTCTATAACCTGAACAACTAGAGCTTTGATGTGAGCATGAAGTACGGTCCAGGACGAAAGGAAGAAAAGCCCCAGGCATGTACCTGTGTGGGCCTATTCATGGATGTGCGCGTATGTATTTCTGGACATTAGTGGGGCTGCCGACCCAAGAGCATCTCAGAGAACTAAGCCAAATGTCCCAGAGAACTAACCCATTTTCGCTAGGGAGCGTGAGACAGGCTGACTTTGGTGGGGTGCCCCTCCGGCCTGGGAATTCCCCGAGGCTAAGAACTAGGGCTTTTCCTGGGGTCTCAGATTTGCACATCGCTGGACTGGGGGGGATGGGGTGGGGCAGGGGTGTGTGCCTTTCCCCTCCAACTGCTGGGCAGTGAGTCTTGTGTCAAAAAAGCATACTCGGACTGGAGCCACAGCACGGTAAGTAGGGCATTTGCCTTGTATGCGGCCGACCTGGGTTCGATTCCCAGTATCCCATATGGTCCCCTGAGCACCGCCGGGGTAATTCCTGAGTGCAGAGCCAGGAGTAACCCCTGTGCACTGCTGGGTGTGACCCAAAAATAAAACAAAAAAAAAGAAAAAACAAAAAAGCATAACACGAAGGTGTCACACTTGGTCCCACAGAGTGACCGTAGGATGAACCGAGGACCGCGGGGGTAGGGGTGAAGAGCAGAGAAGACAGGGACTGGGTAACACAAGAGTCGTCCCCCCAACACTGCCCCCCGCTTGCTCACGACATGCTTCACCACTCCCTGAAGTTGTGTGTCCGGAAAAATCAGAAAATGCCCGGAACACGCAGGCTGCTGTGTGGTGGCCAGGGGAAGGCCCCCGCGCATGTTAATTTTCCTGACCCAGTTTTGAAGCGCCGCTGCAGCGGTTCCCAGCACATAACAGCAGTGGCAGCAGATACCCAGGACCAATCAATGACGCGATGACTGGCAGGGCTCACCAGAATGAAGTGGCGGGGGAAGGGAGGGGACGGTGCCATTGGAGGCCCGGTACGTACCCACCACTCCTGGTCCTCCTCCCCCGTGACGATGATCACTTCCCCCTCGATGAAGGTGAGCTCGTCGTCGTTGTCGGCCTGGCAGTCGTAGATGGTCTTCACCCGCCTCACTTTGTTCTTCCCCTGCAACAGAGAAACCGGGAATCAGCAGGGGGCTTAGACCCAAGGGGCAAAGGACACCTGAGTGGGGCAAGGGGCAGAAGCTGCAGAGTTTATGATGGAGGGGGATGGGGGTCAGCCAGGTGTCTGCATGTGACAGGAGAGAGGAGAGAGATGGTGGAGAGAGGGGGAGCTATGAGAGGCAAAGCAGAGGGGAAGAGGAGAGGGAGAGGAGAGAGGGGAAGAGAAAGAAGAGTGGAGGGAGAGGGCGAGAAGAGAGGAAGAGAGATTAGCAGGGAGAAAGGGAGAGAGGGAGTGAGAGGGAGAGAATGGTCGTGTGTGTGTGTGTGTGTGTGTGTGTGTGTGTGTGTGTGTGTGCGTGCGTGTGCTCAATCCCACCCAGAGGGAGACGGGGAGCACAGGGGTGTGAATCCCAACTGCACCCTGACATCGGCAGCTCTGCTCTTCCACCCACAGCTGCAGCAGCTCGCAGAGATGACAGCAGAAGCTAAAAATGGTTCGGGGAAACATGATGTAAAGCAAAATGTGCCGTTTCTGCATACTGAATACACAGCATAAACAAATCTCCCAGGATCCTCATGCAAAGTACGAAGTCAGCACAAGCTGCAGAAACAGGGTAGGAGCTGGGGGGGAGGGGAGGAGGTGCCAAGCAATTCCCAAAGCAGCCTCCATTTACATGGACGTGTGTGGGGGGAAGTGGGGCTGGGCGGGGCTCTGTCCTCAGGCGACCATATGCAGCACCAGGACTGGAGCCACTGTCATGGCGCAGCCACACGCGACAAGGCCACATGCCATCTCTCTGGTCCAGAAGTTTTAGATTTTTGAACGATCTAATTTTAATTTTTTTTTGTTTTGTTTTGGGTCACACCTGGTGATGCACAGGGGTGACTCCTGGCTCTGCACTCAGGAATTACTCCTGGCGGTGGTTGGGGGACCATATGAGATGCTGGGAATTGAACCCCAATCAGCTGCGTGCAAGGCAAACGCCCTACCCGCTGTGCTATCGCTCCAGTCCCTGTTAATATTCTTAAAGTCAATGGGTGCCATCAAGAAAGTTAGCTGCAAGAGTTGGGATTGAAGATTATTTTGGTTAGTTTTCTGTATTTTATAGAAATACAAAAGTTATATATATATATATATATATATATATATATATATATATTGCTTTTTGGGTCACACCCAGTGATGCTCAGGGGTTACTCCTAGCTCTGCACTCAGGAACTACTCCTGGCGGTGCTCGGGGGACATATGGGATGCTGGGAATAGAACCTGGATCAGCCGTGCACAAGGCAAATGTCCTACCTGCTGTGCTATTGCTCCAGCCCCCTTGAACAATTTTAATTTGGACTTTTATTTGGGGACGTTCTGGGTTTTTGCAGGCAGAGAACTCATCATATAAAGAATGTTTCTGGTGCCCAGCTCATCAAATTAGTGTTTTAAAAAGCGCACTGCTGGCCTCTAAACCATGGAGCAAAATTCCTGGTACTAATCACTGTATAATTGAAACTCAAGCACAAAAATTTGTAAGTCTACAACTGTACCTCATGGTGTCTCACTAATAAAAATTTAAAAATTAAAAAAAAAAAGCGCATTGCGTCTGTATTTTGGGTTGTGCCCTCCTCTGGTGCCCAGTGGCTCCCCGTTCCCTCAATCTTTCCTATGCCTCCCCTTCAGGTTCTTTGGGGCAAGAGAAACAGCAGAAGGCTTTGAGGGGGGAAGAATGAGGGGTGGGGCTCGGCGGGGCTCAATGTCCTTTGCTTGGGCTGAGAGTCAAGAAAGACTGGATGGTTTACAGTGGGGACTATTCAAAGGGAGCAGAGGCGCCGGAGAGACAGTATAGCGGGTAGGGCGTTTGCCTTTCAGGCAGTCAACCCAGGTTCAATCCCTGGCACCCCATAGTCTCCAAGCAGTGCCAGGAGTAATCCCTGAGCATCACTGGGTGTGACCTAAAAAGAAACACAACAAAACAAAACAACCCAAAGGGAACAGAGGGCAAGAGCCAAGCACACCGGGAGTTTGCCCTGTGGATGCCATGAAATGTAGTGGGTCTCATGAGACTTCCTCACTGGTGCCTTGGAGTCCTGGGAGAATATATTTCTTCTGTTCCTTTTGGGCTGGAATGACACACTTTCTGCAAGTGATGTTTTCATCATGAAACGGGAGCAGGGCAAGCTGGCCTGTTCAGAGAGGCCACGTGGAACCCCCCACTTCCTCACTAAGTGACTGTGTCCCTCAACAAGAAGAAGCTAGGGCCCCCTTAGAGCATTGCCCTGGGCATCTTCCCTGAGCACCGCTTGCCAACAAACAGGAGTAAATAAGATATTTTCTATAGACAAGAACAATGATGAAGCCAAAAGCCTTTTGTGCAAATGATGGGCAAAGACCGCAACCCACAATGTGGTTTGTGCCAATCCTCTAGGAAGAGGCAGTGGGAAGTAGAGATGGGAAATACCCTCACAATCTTGTGTGTGTGTGGGGGGGGGGGGGAGGGAGGCTGGAGTGACAGCACATTGGGTAGGGCATTTGCCTTGCACGTGCCAACCCGGGTTCGATTCCCAGCATCCCATATGGTCCCCCAAGAACACCAGGGGGACCTGTTTCAGGTGACTCTTGGGAAGGAGTCTCCTCCCCCTCCCCTGCCATGCTCTTGGGGCAGTCGGGGCCGTCAGACAGAGTGTTCTCTCACTGTGCAGCTAAGCCCACTTGCTTTTCTCGGCATGAAGCCCCCGAAGCTGTCATCCTTTCAGCTCCTCCACGTGCATGAGGAAACCCAGGCATCACAGAGGTGAGGGAATGGGCCAAGGCCATGCTCATCTGTTGGGCGGAAGGCTCTCTGCCGGCATACCATGCAAGAAGGCCCACTGCCAACCAGGGCCTGACCCAACACTGACAAGGCTCCCCCAAAATCTCAGGGTGCAGCAGAGGAGTGGAAAAGGTCCGAGGGGGCGCCCACACACCGTGTTGATTTTCCTGGGCAGTGGCACTGGTGTCTCGGGCAGCGTGGGCGTGAGGTCACTGGAGTCCTCGGAAGCCTGCTTTGGGACGGTGTCTCGGGATGGCATGTTCGGGGACAGATCCAGGGGGTGGGACTTCTGCAGGAGGTCCCCGGGCTGCTGAGTCTTGGGGGAGATGTCGGCTGGCTGGGGCTTGGCCAGCAGGTCGCCCAGCTGTGGCTTGGGGGGCAGGTCTTTCATCTGCGGCTTGGGTGGTAACTCAGAGAGCTGGGGCTTGGGCGGGAGGTCGCCCAGCTGCGGCTTGGGGGGCAGTTCTCCTGGCTTCGGAGGCAGCTCTCCCATCTGCGGTTTGGGAGCAAGTTCTGTGGGCTTTGGGGGCAGGTCCCCTGGGGGTGGCTTCTGCGGCAACTCTGCCAACTGTGATGATTTCTGGAAGATTTCCGGCGGGATACTGGCTTTGTCGAGTGAAAGATGATGACTGGTTTCTGTTTTCCTTAGTGCCACTGCAGGAAGCAAGCACAAAGAAGGGGTCACAGGCAGGGGACTCAAGGGGCCTGCCTCCTGCCAGGCGCACCGAAGAGAACCCAAAAGTTGGGCTGGGGGACTTTCTTCTTATTAAATATATATATATATATATATTTTAAAATTTTATTTTACTGAATCACTGTGAGATACACAGCTACAAAGCTGTTCATGAATAGGAGACTAACACCCAAGAATAGTAGAGATAAAGACCAGGAGGTTTGCCCCATGGCTTGGAAGCCGGCTTCACGTGCTGGGGGAAAAGGCAGCTCAGACAGAGAAGGGACCATCAAGTAAAGGGTGCTGGGAGGTCCCACTCGGGTTGGAAGATTCGTGCCGAATATATACTATAGATGGAACACAATGGCCACTCATTGTCTCTATTGTAAACAATAACACCCACCCAAAAAGAGAGAGAACAAAAGGGAATGCCTGGCCACACAGGTGGGGTGGGGTGGGGGGGATGGGGTGGAGGTGGTGGGAGGGATGCTGGGACCATTGGTGGTGGAAAATGGGCACTGGTGGAGGGATGGGTACTTGATCATTGTATGACTGAAACCTGAAACGCAAGCACGAAAGTTTGTAAGTCTGTTACTGTACCTCATGGTGATTCACTAATAAAAATTAAAAAAAAAGAAAAGCTGTCCATGGTTGGAGCGATAGCAGAGCAGGTAGGGCATTTGCTTTGCACGTGGCAGACCTGGCTGACCCCGGTTTGATTCGTCCTCTCTTCTCGGAGAGCCTGGCAAGCTACCAACAGTATCTCGCCTGCACGGCAAAGCCTGGCAAGCTACCCGTGACATATTCAATATGCCAAACACAGTAACAATGAGTCTCACAATGGAGACATTACTGGGCCGGCTCTAGCAAATCGATGAACAATGGGAGGACAGTGCTACAGTGCTACAGTTCATGGTTGGGGTTTAGTCATACAATATTCCAACACTCATCCCTCTACCAGTGCATATCACCTATGTCCCCAGTTTCCTTCCCAACATCCCTCATTTCCCCCCATTAAACTGAATCACCATGAGATACACAATTACAAAGTAGATCGTGACTGGATGTCAGTCAGACAGTGTTCCAACACCTGTCCCTTCAGCAGTATACATTCCTCAGCCTGTGTCTATGGTAGACATTTTTCTTCTCTTTCTCTCTTTTCCCTATAGACTCTCCTTTTAAGAGGATGAAAAGCTGGAAGCCTTCAATAAGATTCTTTTTTTCTTTCTGGGTCACACCTGGCAATGCACAGGGGTTACGCCTGGGTCTGCACTCAAGAATTACTCCTGGCGGTGCTCAGGGGACATATGGGATGCTGGGAATCAAACCCGGGTAGGTCGCATGTAAGGCCAATGCCCTACCCACTGTGCTGTCGCTCCAGACCCCCATGTGATAAGATTTTATGCCCCGGTTACATAAGGATATTATGCCCAAACTCATCATCCATCTCTCATAGAAAACTTTTCCCTATTTTGATATATTTTCTTTCTGACTTTTTACAATATTTTCTAGAAATAAAACTTTTTTGATGGCAGGTGCCCACACCTGGCATTTCTCAGGACCACTGTGGGGCCATGCAGTGCAAAGCATCAAATTGGAACCAGCCGCTTGCATTAAGTGCTTTAACCCCTGTGCTATGTTACTGCACTTTTTTTGTTGTTATTCACACATAATTATTCAAATTACTTTTGGGCCATACCTGGCAATGCTTAGGGGACCATATGGCCATATGGGGATTGAACCCATGGGAGGTTCAGTTAATGCAACCTCTTTACCTTAACTTCTTTATTACCAGCCCCACTTTTTTTTTTTTTGGTCACACCCAGCGATGCTCAGGGATTATTCCTGGTTCTGCACTTAGGAGTTACTCCTGACGGTGCTTGGGGGAACCATAGGGGATGCCGGAAATTGAACCTGGGCTGGCCACATGCAAGGCAAACGCCCTATCTGCTGTGCTATCGTTCTGGCCTCAGCCCCATTTTTTTATGTTACATTCCACACTACAGTTTCATTACAAATGATGAACTCCCTTTATTAATAGGATCCACTCACTCTGTAAGAGCCGGAACAGTCTGAGTTAGCTGCTCATACACATCGTGATCACATGCACAAATGTGCTTATGAATATTTCTTCTTTCCTTTCTGGCAGGGGCCTCACCTACATGCATGGCTCAGGGTCCGGGGCCACTTCTGCCAATACTCAGCCAGCCAGGCCAAGTGGCTCAGTCACCGGTTTGCCTCAGGGTGCTGCACTGCCTGGACCCTGGGAGCCGGGGCCCTCACAGGGGAGCACAGGGTATCCAGGGCCAATCTGGTGGTGTTCAGTGGCATCATGGACTTTGAAAGATTATAAATGGCAGCAAGAGTACATCAAAATCACAAACATTAATCCTAAAGTTGATACCTAAACTATAGAAGAAAAAAATTGGCGCTGGAATTATAGTACAGTGGGTAGGGTGTTTGGCTTGCACGTGGCCAACCTGGATTTGATCCCGGCATTCCATATGGTCCTCTGAGCACTGCCAGGAGTAATTCTTCATTTTTTTTTTCTTTTTGGGTCACAAGAGGCATTGCACAGGGGTTACTCTTGGCTCATGCACTCAGGAAGTATTCCTGGCGGTGCTCCGGGGACCCTATGGGATGCTGGGAATTGAACTTGGGTCGGCCACCTGCTGTACTATTGCTCCATTCCCAGCAAGGAATAATTCTTGAGCGCAGATCCAGGGGTAACCCCTGGGCATCAGCAGGTATGACCCCAAAAACACCCAAACCCCACAAATACAACAACAAAAATCATACAAAAGGAAAAAAAAACTAAAACCAGTAAATAATAATGAAACAAATTGTAAACGGGGAAAAAAAAGATATTCAATATTCGCCTGCTACTTTTTTTTTTGGCCCATCCAGCATGTCTCAGAGAGCATCTCCGTTAGTTCCTGCTTTTTCTGTGTAATGACTTGTAGACCTCTACAGCTTGGATGAATGTGAGAATCTGCTGAATCATGCTCACAGTCTTGGGAGAGCTCTGGAGAACTAGGGACACGGAGGGTGTCTCCAAGTCATGCAATCCTCACTTAGCTGTGTCGCCATGAGCACATTACACAACCTCTCTCTCTCTCTCTGTGCCTCCCAGTTCTCATTTCTAAAATATGAGCTGAACTCAGTATCTCTATTGCAAACTACAACACCCTAAAGGAAAGAGAGGGCAAAAGGGAAGGCCCTGCCACAGAGGCAAGGTGGGCTGGGGGGGTGATGGGGTGTGGGGGCGGTGGGAGGGCTACTGGGATCATTGGTGGTGGAGAATGGACACTGGTGGAGGGATGGGTACTTGATCATTGTATAACTGAAACTCAAGCATGAAAGTCTGAAAGTCTACAACTGTACCTCAAGGTGTTTTACTAATAAAAAAAAAAAAGAAAAAAAAGAGGGAGTATGCCTGTCACAGAGGCAGGAGGTGGGAAGGGGTGGGGTTGGCGGGAGGAATACTGGGAACACTGGTGGTGGAGAATGGGCACTGGTGGAGGGATGGATACTCAATCATTGTATGATTGAAAGGTAATCACAAAAGTTTGTAAGTCTGTAACAGTATTTCACTGTGATTTACTAAAATAATAATAATGAAAAAAAGAATAAAATATGAGCTGAATTTGTTGACAGGCCCTGGCAGGGCCTAACTATGATAAGGGTATCATTATCACTCCTGCCCATCAGGGCCCCTTAAGGTCAGGTTCATATTTTCACTCTTTCTTGAAACTTGGGCCCCTGGCAGAAGGGCCAAACACAGTGGGTGCTTAGTGAGGATACAGCCGACTCAGGCACTGATGGAGTCAAAGGAATCCATTCTAAAAATACAACATCCTCAGAATGATAAGTGAAATTCCTTTTTAAAAAAAGGAAGGGGGGGGGTGCAAAAGAAAGGTGAATCCCAGCAGCACTGTAAATGGTTACAAATTGTACTGCCTCTGGTTTCCGCCCATGGTCTGTCCAGCCACACCCCTTCCTAAGGAACTCAAGTTCAAGGGCTCCCAGCTTATGGATTGGTCCCCGAGCTTTGGCTCATGTCCTGGAGTGCTCAAAAAGGTCTCTTGAAAGTTAGAAACTGGGGAAATAAGAGTCTGAAGGCTGATGCAGCCTTCAGATGCAGCTGGGGGATTCCCTGAGATGGTGTGACTGGAAAGTCCTTGCTGTGAGCGAAATATTTAGGGGAGGAAAAACTTAAGTGTTGGGCACCTAAAACACTAGACTTGTTAAAAAAAAGCCACTTAAGACCGGAGCGATAGCACAATGGGTAGGGCGTTTGCCTTGCACGCAGCCAACCCGGGTTCTATCCTTGGCGTCCCATATGGTGCCCCAAGCAGCACCAGGGGTAACTCCTGAATGTAGAGCTATTAGTAATCCCTGAGCATCGCTGGGTGACCCCCCCCCCACACACACACAAAGGGCACTTGAGAGTTCAGCACAGCACTGCTGAGGATAAAAAGACTAAAGCCTGTGAGTGTGGCGTTGACGGACTGCCTGATGTATGTGAGGCCCAAGGCAATGGGCTACTGATACCCCGGGAAAGTCATCTTGCTGTGGGCTGGAGGGGACAGGGGCTAGCTCAGGTGCCTTGCAGGTAGCTGACCCCGTGTTTATCTTTACCACCAGCATCACTGGTGCCACCCTGGAGGCCACCTGTAACCCCAGGTGCAGCCGGGGTTATCCGTAGCCGGGCCTGTTATCCGTAGCACAGCAGGGCCGGAGCAGAGCCAGATCCTTAGGAACCTGGCATTGAACCACACAACTGGCCAAAACCAGCTCTGCTCATTCCCAGGCCTCCTGAGCATATGAGACCCTTGGATCAAGATAAGGGTCTGGCCTCATGGACTTAAGTGAGGACAGAGAGATAAAGCAAAAGCTTCTGCAACTGTTTTTATTCTAAAGCTAAAAAGTCATGCAAGAAAGGTAGCAAGAATTGTTCTGTTATCCTGTCACTATCACTGTCCTCCCGTTGTTTATCAAACTGCTCGAGCGGGCCCAGTAACACCTCCATTGTGACAACTGTTACTGCGTTTGGCATATCGAATATGACACGGGTAGCTTGCCAGACTTTGCCGCGCAGGCGAGATACTCTCGGTAGCTTGCTGGGCTCTCCGAGAGGGGCGAAGGAATCGAACTTGGATCTGTTATCCTAAAAGGATCAAAATCTTGTCTTTATAAATGAAAAGCTTAGTCAAAAATGCTTTGGCTGAAGAGCTGAATGTCTTGGCCTGGCAAAGCAGCAGCTCTCTCTCTCTCTCTCTCTCTCTCTCTCTCTCTCTGTCTGTCTCTCTCTCTCTCTCTTTCTCTCTCTCTCTCTCTCACTCTTCTTTGCTTTTTGGGTTATACCTGGCGATGCTCAGGGATTACTACTGGCTTTGCACTCAGGAATTATTCCTGGTGGTGCTCGGGGGACCATATGGGATGCTGGGGATCAAACCTGGGTTTGCCGCATGCAAGGCAAATGCCCTACCGCTGTGCTATTGCTCTGGACCCCAAAGCAGCATCTCTTATAGACACTGCCCTCTCATATTTCACAGAATTGCAGTTCCACTTTGCCCACAGATGACCTGTCTGGGAAGCAATTCTCTATCACTTTCTGGCTTGGGCCTTTCTGAAGCATCATCTCCAGAACCTGCACAGTAGGTATTGTATCCCCATATTTTCAGGTCGGGGAGTTGGAGGCCTCGTGAGACACTGCGTTGCCCATCTGAGTCACACAGCTAGTGAGAGAACTGGTACTTGTTTGCAGTGTCTGAGAACATAAGAGCAGAAGAAATGGGAGCTGGGGATCTTAATGATACAGTTTCTTCATGAGATCTCAACTAGAACAACCAAACTTAAAAATGCCAAGAGGGGGGGATGAGAGTAAAACTGAGGACAGTGGTGCAGGGAAGCTGACACTGAGGCTAGAATTGGTGTTCGAACACTATCTGCCTGAAACTCAACTTTGAATGACTTTGTAAATCATGGTGCCTCAATTAAACACACACACACACACACACACACACACACACACACACACACACACACAAAACAAAAAACAACATAGCTTTTGGGAGAGTCCTCTAAGGGAAAGTAGATCTTAGAAGTTCCAGTTACTACATCTGAGTGGATGAAATGCTTTTCTTCATTAAATAACAATTTAATGGGCATCTACCACCTGCCAGGTGTTCCTCTACACATCAGGATGGCGCAATGACCAAAGGGAGAGGGGCCCTGATTCCCTTGGAGGGGACAAGTGATGCTAATTCCACGTGCAATTGATAAAAGATAATTCTTACCTTTCTGAGGTAGTTTAGGAAGAACTCTTGGGCCAAGGGCAGTCTTTGCAGAACTGGTGCTAATTAGAAGAAGAAGCATATTTAGGATTTAAAAGTGGCAGAGCATCCATAGCCCCCTGTTATTCAAGGACACCAAAGGTGCTTACAGAAACATCTGAAAATCTTTCCAAAATTTCTAGTTCATTTATTGTAATTCCATTTGCCTAGGTGGGGAGGAAGAGTGGGAGGATGAGGAAAACAAACAAAAAACGCCTCTTCTGTAGTGACGAAACCCAATTCCTTCATGAAAAATTTTTCCCAGAGGCAATACTGTTGTTTTTGTTTTTGGCTTTTTTGGGTCACACTCGGTGATGATGCACAGGGGTTACTCCTGGCTCTGCAGTCAGGAATTACTCTTGACAGTCCCGGGGGGACCATACGGAATGCTGGGAATTGAACCTGGGTGGGCTGCATGCAAGGCAAACGCCCTAACCACTCTGCCATTGCTCCAGCCCCGAGGAAATACTGTTTGGAAAGCACTTGGCCCCAGAGAATTACAGAGTCAGCCCTCACCTGTTTACTGCCAGTGATTCTCCTCCCCTGCAGAGCAGAGGGGGAGAGTAAGGGGGCCTTTCTCACATACAGGTTAAATACGACAGCTGCTTGGAAAGGAACCCAGACTCTGTTTGTTATCTCTGGAGCCCTGGAAAGCTGCTCTCTCCAACCCCCCCCCCAATTCTCACTTAAATTTTGGGTCTGGAAGTGTTTTGGGGTGCCCCTATCTTATATAGCATCTTTAGAGGAAAGACTTTGAGCTGGGGCGAGACCAATGCACACTTCTCTCCAAAGTATCTCATTTCAGTACAAGGAGAGAAGAAAGAAATGGTGCTTTTAGGAATGCCCTGCCATGGGTGGGATGGGGGGGTGGGCGGGATACTGGGAGCACTGGAGGTGGAGAACGGGTACTGGTGGAGGAATGGGTACTCAATCATTGTATAACTGAAACCAAAGCACAACAAATTGTAAGTCTACAACTGTACCTCATGGTGTCTCACTAATAGAAAAAGAAAGAAAATGGTGCTTTTAGTCTAACCCTAAAATAAATAAAAAAATTATACAATTAGGGAACTTGGAAAGAGCCATATTTTTCTGTTTGAAATTCTTGGGGACGCTACATATCCCTGAAGGAAAATCTTTTCATTCTCAAGTCTACAAACCAGCAAAATGGGAAAGTAACAAAACAAAGTTGTTTCATTTAAAAAGTCAAAAATAGGGACTGGGGAGGCAGGCCAGAGGGTAGAGTGTCTGATCCTGGCACTAAAGGTCGGTGCACATCCCACCCCAGCCTTGCTGGGTAGTCCTGAATTCTCCAAGCACAGCTGGGGTGGGCCTACGTGGCCCACAAGGTCCAACCACTGCATCCTCGGGCCCCTTTGCATGGGACTAGAGGTGCTGGAGTAATCCCTGGACTCTCTGAGCATCATTGGGGAGTCCCTCCCTTCCAGAAACCGTCATTTGACTCACAGTGTGGTCTTGCTTGCTGGTTTGATTATGATGAAATACTAAATCTTTACTCTTTTTACACCTCTGTACCTCTTTGAGTAGATTAGGGGATGGGTCTTAGCCAGGTTTGTTGTTTCGTTTGGGAGGTGTAACTGGCCATGCCCTGGGGCTGCTCCCAGCTCAGTACGTGTCACACACGGTGGCACTCTGGGGACCACGTGGTGCTGAGGATCAAAGCTGGGGCTCTGTGTGCAGAGAATGGGCTCCAGCTTTTTGAGCTGTGTCCCCAGTCCTGCAGACTATATTTTAGGAGCACAGCTCTGTCTTCCCGTGTACAAGTGGGATCAGACTGCCACTAAAAACCATTTCTAGAATTTGGTCCACTGCAAAGACTCCAGGTAGGAGAGAAGTGTGAGCAGGGCTTACCTTGACTGTTGAGACAGTCCCTCAAACTTGTTCGCAGTCTTACTTGAAGATGACGAACCCACGTCGTTACCTACAGGGAGAGTCAAATGGACAGAGATGCAGCTTGAGACAGGGAAAAGGATTGTGTGGATATGGGATCTGGCAGGCCGGAGCCCCTTAGGTTACAGAAAAAAATTGCAGAAGACTGTTGAGAACAATTTTTTTTTCCCCAACAGAAACATGCATTTCTCACAGAAAGACAAATAAAGCAAAACAGAACTAATGGTAACTGTGTGGGGCCTGATGAGGTCTTTATTATTAAGCTTTCTTTCTCCTTGCTGAGTTCTCTGAGGTCACAGGACTTATTAATGTCCTACTGGCTCAGACTTTTGCTTGGGAGCAGAGCAAGAGGAATAAAGCTCGAGTTCATCTAGAGGTTTCCAGTCTTGACCAGACTGTCCCCTGGGAACCACACTTGAAGCAATTCATAACCCACAGGTTGCAGGTGTTGCCATGACTCAGGTGATGAGAACTGGACAAGGCCCCAGCCACTAAGTTACTCACCAGTTTTTCTGCCATCAGCATGTGTAAGCATCTACCATAACAAGCAGTTCCAAAGGGATATGGAGCACGAGGGCACCAGAGCAAGTCCAAAGCTACTGATTTCACAGAGTTTATGATTTGGTCTGGGAGAGGGACATGCATGAACTATTACTAATGTAGGATGAAATGCACGAAGAACAGGATTGGGAGCTGTGAAACTGAGGTGGAAGGAGTGGTAGTAGTGGCAGCGAATGTCTCTGCTGGGAAACAGGACACCTAAACAGTGAAAAGACTTTTTAATGGGTAAGTAGCAAAACGAGACACATGAGCTCTGGATGGAAGAAGGTAACAGTCTTTTGGGTCACACCCGGCGATGCACAGGGGTTTCTCCTGGCTCTGCACTCAGGAATTACTCCTGGTGGTGCTTGGGGGACCATATGGGATGCTGGGAATTGAACCCAGGTCGGCCGCATGCAAGGCAAATGCCCTATCCTCTGTGCTATTGCTCCAGCCCCGATGGTAGAGTCTTAACAGGATAAAATGGCGCATCTGGGACCACTCCCTGGCAGTATCTGGGTTCTCAGAGGCCCAGTGCCAGAGGGATCCCCAGCAACTTGCCAATACACAGCTCCTCTGGGTTCTCCTTCCTTCATCTGCACAGGAGCCTCCACCGCCTGCCTCCTTTGAAGACTTTCCCCCCCTCTCTGCTGAGATGCCCATATACATCTCCCAGGTAGCACCAGGAAACAGAAGTGCAAAGAAAACAGGGCTCGGGAGAGGACGAAATTGATACTCGTGTCATGGGTGTCTGCTCAAAAGCCTTACCTCCTCACAACAACAGGAGGCTTTGCCTTCATTTTAAAGATGAGGTTAAGTGAATAAATGCCTGCAGGTTCCATAGCTAAGTTATGTGTCCAGAAGTCCTGACCGCAAGGCCACACACTTTTCATCACCTGTCATCATGCTCTAATGGTAATATCAGTAAGCAAACAAGAGCTGTTTGTTGGGTACTTACTATGAGTGATGAGTATTATGCTCTAAGGGCCTTATAGGAGCTGTGTTTAGATCTAGAATACGATTCTCCTCCATTGCAATTGTGAAACACACAAAGAAGTGACTTGCCCAAGGTCAAACAACTAGTAAGAATGCTCAGAGCTGAAGTCCAACACTGAGAAGCCTGTCTACAGGGTCTGGACTGAATGGCTCTACTCAGTGAATCTCCCAACCCACCAAGCCCAACACCGCTGGCATGGATGTAGCAGCAAATACTAAGATGGCATCTTCTGGGGTTGTTTTTGCTTGTTTTTGGCTATACTTGTTGGTGCTTGGGGTGCTACGTAGACCATGTAGTGCTGAGGATCAAGGATCTGGGACTCCTGCATGTAAAGCAAGCACACTCACCCTCTGAGCTTCTGCCTCAGCGTCATGAGGAGGCCTCTGGACAGAACCTTCTGTAACTGTGAGGATCTCAACAAGAAACAAACTACATTGGCATTACCAGGACCAAAGACTTTGCCAGACAGTTTGAATTTAACAAGACACTCCTAATCATTAGCAAGTTCCCATGAATCTCTAATTTAATACTAAAGGACTTTGACCATGTTTTCTGAAATCCCCTGTGCACAACTGCCTTGAAGGTCGGGACTTTTTTTTTTTCTTTCTGTTTGTGAACCACACCCAGCAGTACTCAGAGATTACTCCTGGCTCTGTGCTCAGGTATCACTTCTGGTGGGTTTGAAGGACTGGGGATAAAACCAAGGTCAGCCGCACGCACGCAAGGCAAGTGCCCTACCTGCTGTGCTATTTCTCTGTCCTTAGGCACATTTTAGCACAAAGCTCAATTGCCAAGCCTCTAGGGCTGGATATCAAATCTCAAACATTTAGTCTTAAATGAGTTACAAGCATCAAAAATATCAAAGACAGTTTCTAAGTTTAGGAAAGAAATTGCATCATCTGCTACTCCCTTTCCAGGCAGAAAACATTCCAGTGATTTTGTGGAAACCCAATAACTGTCCTCTCTGGTCCCTCGAGGCAACTCTCCCCTCTCCCTCTGCAATGCCGGCCCCTCCCCCCTACCCCTGTTGGTGAATTCCTATATACAATAGCTCCAAGTCAGTTTCTGAGAAATTTTCCTTCCACAGTCAGACCTCATCAGTCATTTGTGTGCCCACAACTCTGAAACAGAGAAGGTATAGGGTAAAGAGTTTGGAGACACATACTCCTGGCTTTAAGTTCCAGCTGCACCAATGATCAGTGGGTACTAGTGAGGACAACACTGCCTTTATATGAAATCTCCCCACTCTCACCTATGATGGGCAGATGACAACCGTGCCCAATCTGCTAACAGGTCTACACACTGCCAGAGAGAACCTGGAGTGCAGGGCACAACTCCAGGGAGAACACAGCTGGTAATTATTTTTATTTACACCTCACTGATGGAATGCATCAGAAGTGATGATGCACTTCCCCCATGAGCATCTTCGAGACAGGACTTGGCCATGTTCGTTTCGGAATAACCCCCTGGACAGGGTTAGGGCTATAGCTCAGAGACAGAGCACTCGAGACCACGGGGCTCCACCCCAAAAGGATAGTAAAAGTAACACATACACAAGTACACTTGCTAACCCTGAGCCTGCTGAATTCAGGATCAATAGTGCTGACTTGGCCCTTTCTTTGCTCACTGGCTCACATGCCGGGGTGGGTAGGCGTCTCTGCTCTGCTTTGCCTTGTTATTCTCATAGCTAGGCCAAGGCTGGCTACCTGCTGGGACTGGCAAGGCAAACATGGCTTCAAGTCTTTCTGAAAATAGGATTGTACCAGAGGGAGGAGATGAGAAGTAGTACAAGGGAACAGCAAAAAACCTTTCTTTTTCCTTCGTGGAAGCTGGAAGAGAACTCCGGAGCATCATAGATGGACATGTGGGATGAATGCTGGACAGGTGTTTGCGGAAATGACCTTGAGAGAGTCAAGGGCAATCACTGTAGCACAGAAGCTTCAGACAAGAGCAAGGTGAGGGTGGAGGTTGGGGGTTGGCTCGACAGTTTAGTGAAAGGCCTAAAGGCTCCAGGAAGAGGGGCTAAACCTCAGAGTGCAACTGTGGGTTCAAATTCCAGCTCTGTAGTTACAGAATTTGTGAACTGGATCAAGGCACTGAACTGCTGTTTCAACTTCCTCATCTGTAAGCTAGGAACAGTCTCTATTTGTGGCGGCTAAATATAATAATGTCTCAATAAAGTCACAGTGCCTAGTGCATGACAATCTATCAAAGGCTGCCACCACTGTCATTTCCAGAACCACATGCAAAGTGAGGCTGGGCCGAGCGGAAGTTGAAGTGAAAACACACAGTGAGGCCCAAGGCAAATGGAAGAACAGAGAATTTCTCAGCAAAGGCCAGTATTACTTCCCGTAATATAATTTACATGCTGAAGATCACTTTTTAAAGTCCTAGGTCTTGTAGGACTTGCAAGTTATGGCCTGGAAATGTGAAAAACGAATCAATTTTTGGTAACTTTACATGGAAAAAAAAAATGCTTGGGCCAAGGGATGTGGCTCGAAGAGTGAAGCACATCAGGCCAGACAGGTGTGAGGCGCCCGATGATACAAGCCCTTTCTCCACCTACCCCCAGTCCCAGCCCATACTGCAGAACTGGGTCTGAGCACTGACCCATCAGATCCACACAGCTGGGGAGAGTATTGTTGGGTGTGTCCCCAGCTCGTCCTTCCACTGTACCCCTGGGAGTGGCATATATATATAGATTGAAATGATATTTTTTTTTTTTTTTTTTTGCTTTTTGGGTTACACCCAGCGATGCTCAGGGGTTACTCCTGGCTCATGCACTCAGGAATTACTCCCAGCGGTGCTCAGGGGACCATACGGCATACTGGGAATCAATCCCAGGTTGGCCGCGTGCAAGGCAAATGCCCTACCTGCGTGCTATTGCTCCAGCCCCTGAAATGATATGTTTATATAATTTCAGAGGTAAGGATATGCAGGTCGTTCTAGAAGTCTTGCAGCTAGGGATCTGCAGAACCTGGATGGAACTCAGGTTTCTGAATGTTCTTTTTTTCTTTGCTTTTTGGGTCGCTCCCAGCGAAGCACAAGGATTACTCTTTGGCTCTGCACTCAGGAATTACTCCTGGCGGTGCTCAGGGGAACCATATGGGATGCTGGGAGTCGAACCTGTGTTGGCAAGGTAAACACCCTACCCACTATACTCTCACTCCAGCCCCTCCTGAATGTTTCTTTATTTTATTTGCCACAATGTGTTCTACAGAAATTGCTCTGAGTACTGGTCAAAGAACAGAGGTCCTATCAGAAGATCCTCTCAGGTATTACAAAGACTTCAAATGTCAGGAGAGGATCAACCCTACAGTCACCCAGAACTATATCACTATCTGCTTCTCTTGGCTTCTGCCTGTAAGCTCCTTGGTCAAACCACGGTCTCTTCCCTGCCACTCAGGGCCTCACATGAGAGATATGTGCTCTCCCACTGAACCACAACCCATCTGTAGAGTCATCCCATTCCTGAACTTAAGTCTACTCTATGT